TGTGCGTGCCTGTAGTCCCAGCTACTGGGGAGGCTGAGGCAGGAGAACTGCTTGACTGGGAGGCAGAGATTGCAGTGAGCCTGCACTGCACTCCAGCCTGAGGAACAGAGTGAGACTCTGACTCAAGAAAACAAAAGGGCAGGGAGGGGCAGCAACTACAGAATACTCAAATATTGAAATCTCTAAATTAATTTGAAAATTTAATACATTATAAAATACATTAATAGCTAAAAGACAAAAACTTACTGAGCAATAAGTTGCTCATCTAACTCTTACAACTTAATGGGGTTTTGGGAAATTATTTGCATAGCCCCGAAGTCTTTTTAAAAAGCTCTCCAGGGAAGTAGGAAATGATGCTTTTTTCATAATAAACTATTTTAAGAAACTGCCAATACTGTATTGTTTCATATGAGAAAAGCCGCTGACAAAAAAGAGTAATTGGCTTCAAGTTTCACACTGATAACTAAGTACTATATTACCTGATAAATCTACTACAGTATCTCCAGAATGGTTCAGCAGGAACTCTACTATGCAGAAATCTTCATTTAAAATAGTTTCAGAGATTTAATTTTTTTAAATGGGAGTCATTATAAAATCTTACCCACAAATCAGCTGAGATAAATCAATACTTCAAAATATAGTAACATAAAGAATGATGTATAGAAAAGAATTTTTACTCAAAATTTTTAGATGTACTTCCAATGTGCTATTTGCTTCTACTCGACTAAGTTCTGGAAGTGAATTTTTAGCATATACTGAAATGGTAACTTCACCTCCAGTCTGATGCCAGTCAGGTCTACATGGAACAACTTTTTTACCCTGTAATAAGAGAAACTTTGTAAGTTAAAAAAAGTGCCACATAATTTCTTAAAAAGAGGAATTTGACCCATCTAACTGAGAAAAAAACTACCATGCACAAACTAAGCACTTATCTTTAAGGACAAAATTCTAAAATTTCCCAAGAGGCTTAAACAACAAAATATATCATGATACAAAGATTCTTCATAAATTTTATGGTTTGAGAAACACACTTACTCCTTCCCTTTGTTTTTCTCTTTTAGGACCATTAATATTGATGCACATTTAAAAAAGACACTTAAGAACTCTCTACTTCATTAATCCAATTTTAACATTTGTAACCTACTAAGTACTGTCATCAAAACATTCTTTGAAGACTGAAATGAAAGACATTGTTTACTGGGATAAATCAGATAACACCTTTAACCTCATGCACTAGAAACCTTATTTATTTTCTACAAAATCAGAACCTAGGGAAAAAAAATCTGACCAGTTATTACTTTCTTCCCATTTTAATAAAGAACAAATGATTTTTGGATTTTTCTGATTATGAAAATAATCCTTACATAACAGTAGTATACCGCCCTACCAGTAATTTTTTTTTATAGAGGCAAAGTGGTGATTTTTATATAAACAAGAACAATTTAGTTACATAATTCAGGAAACTCTGAGACACTACTCTTGTAAACGGTACTATTTTCGTTTTGATAAAATTACATTAACTAAATTTCAATTATATATTCACTCACATTTTGCCCTTAGCTACTAACTTACTTAAAACTTGCATACATTAAAAAACAAGAAAAATTACATCATTTTATCTAGGATTATACTTCCAAACTTAACATAAGAGAAAACAGTATTTTACTTTCTCAAATCTTAAATTTCAAACTTTTGGACTAATACAGATTCCTCACTTTTTATTTAAAAACATTTCTGATAGTTTGTGGTAGATGAATTTTTATAACTTCAGGGTTTTTCATAATACCAACCATGTGTTATTAAAAAAGCAGCAACTAGGGCCGGGTGCAGTGGCTCATGCCTATAATCTCAGCACTTTAGGAGGCCAAGGTGGTGGATCACGAGGTCAGGAGTCCAAGATCAGCCTAGGCAAGATGGTGAAAATCCGTCTCTATAAAAATACAAAATTAGCCTGGCATGGTGGTGCGTGCCTGTAGTTCCAGCTACTGGGGAGGCTGAGGCAGGAGAACTGCTTGAATCTTATCTCCCATTCAATCTGTTGTGTCATCTTTTTGTTTTTCCTGCTTTTTAGCTGCAGGCAGTTCAAGGCTTGCCCACTGCATTGGTTCCGCTTTTCTCATATTGATTTCAATCTTTGTTGCAGTCATAGTTACATAACTTCGCTTTACATCAATCACCTGTAACAATCAAAGAGAATTACAGGAAACTTCGGTGGTTTTATTCATCTCAGAAGAAAACATCAGACTTGCTTATGCCAATAATCTCAAATCCAAGCTTCTAAAGGCTTCTTTTATATCTAGACTTAAACTTTTTGGTAGGATATACTTTTAAGTTAAGGATCTATACTTTGCATCAATGTTTACTACAGCACTGTCTTTTATTCTACAAATGATCTCTTAAGTTATCAGAAAAGAATTATTATAAATTTGTAATACTTACACCCCATAGTTTCACATTTTGATCAAATTCCTTCTCTCCTTCAAATACAATGTGCACATTTAACTGAAAAAGATATACACAGTTAATTGATCAAATTCAAACTGAAGATTTATGGTATCAAACACTGATTATAAAAATAAGACTGACAAAAATGAATTAAACTATTTTAAGAAACTGCCAATACTGTATTGTTTCATATGAGAAAAGCCGCTGACAAAAAAGAGTAATTGGCTTCAAGTTTCACACTGATAACTAAGTACTATATTACCTGATAAATCTACTACAGTATCTCCAGAATGGTTCAGCAGTAACTCTACTATGCAGAAATCTTCATTTAAAATAGTTTCAGAGATTTAATTTTTTTAAATGGAGTCATTATAAAATCTTACCCACAAATCAGCTGAGATATAACAATACTTCAAAATATAGTAACATAAAGAATGATGTATAGAAAAGATTTTTACTCAAAATTTTTAGATGTACTTACCAATGTGCTATTTGCTTCTACTCGACTAAGTTCTGGAAGTGAATTTTTAGCATATACTGAAATGGTAACTTCACCTCGTCTGATGCCAGTCATGTTTACATGGAACAACTTTTTTACCCTGTAATAAGAAGGAAACTTTGTAAGTTAAAAAAGTGCCACATAATTTCTTAAAAAGAGGAATTTGACCCATCTAACTGAGAAAAAAAACTACCATGCACAACTAAGCACTTATCTTTAAGGACAAAAAAATTCTAAATTTCCAAGAGGCTTAAACAACAAAATATATCATGATACAAAGATTCTTCATAAATTTATGA